TGAGCAGAGAAGCAATCCTGATGTTAAACTCTCCTCTCTCCCAGCCTATCCTATACAAATACTGCTGGTTTGGCAGAGAGTCCCCACTGTCCTAGGACAATAAACCTGCCCCACAGGAGGAGTCTGCAGGACTTGGAGGGTGGGGAGAAGGTTTTAAGAAAAGATATGATTGTGGGGCCATTTGCAGAGACATAGCATTTAGGTACTCAGTGAATACTCTCTCTCCTTTCCCCCACCCCCAAAAGAAGTAACCTTGGGATCAACAAAGTTCCAGATTCTTGCCTTCAAAGCATGCAGACTGGGAGCTAAATGCACATAATGGCAGAGAAATCTGAAGCATCTTCACAGGTCTCTAATCCTCCCATGAAAGCAGCTCTTGCTTTTTAAAGAAATGTCCCAGTCCTCTTCCCAAGCCCACAACCTTCGCTCCCATGACCTAATCTAACATGACTCAGCCCTGAAGTTCAGGGGAGCTCCGCTGAAGCATGCTGCCAGCCAGGACAGCAGATCTCCTGCCAGTCACCACTGAGCCTTCCCGGTAGGGCAAGGTGGGTCAGCCTGGCTCATTCTCTCCCTAACAGGGAAAAGTGCGATACAATGGATTTCCTTACTTAATACTGTTGCCCCGGGGAATGGCAAGAGGGGAAAAAAAGAACTAAGAAACAAGGCTTTCAAGTTTTGGACTCTTAATAAGGGTGGGGCCATCAGGTAATTAAACTTTTAATAGGTCACTGCAGTGGAAGAAACTCTTCCAGTTGGGTAGGTTTCTAATCCATCATTAAAAAAAAAAAAACGAGATGACACGCATTAATCAAAGCACATGAAATCACATGGGGGGGGTTTGAAATGAGCAACTCCGAGAACTTGCTCTTGCTGAGAGGATGGGGCAATCACTCCTCCTTTCATCAACATTTCACGAATGTTTCCACATTTCTCAGGACGGCAGCGAGAAAGAGCCTTCATGTCCTTCTCCACCCACCCCACTGATAAAGCTGTCGAACGCATATTACCAACCGCTCAAGAGCCCATGTGAAACGAGTTGGTGGATTAATTAGCAGAAGGGCAGAGCTCCGAAGATGGAAAGATGCTCTACTGTGAAAGGCGCATTGATTGAAGGTCCTCAGCCACCACCGCAAGGCTGTCATCATCCACTGCAAACACAGCGCAGCGCCAGCTCCTGCACCAGCAGCTAAATCTAGGTCACCTGGCAGGGGCTCCCGGACCATGCACACTCCTCCCTGATCAGAGAGCTGTTTGGGACCCCATTCCTTTAGTAAAATACACAGATTTACCCCTAGACAGACTGCAACAGGTACCTGAAGCACACCTTCCTCTGTTGGTAGCGTGGTCCACATCAGGACAAAAAAAAAAGTAGGGAAAACTAAACATGCCTGCCCCTGGGCTGCACACATTTGGTGACTGTAGTCACCAAGGAGCAGTTTTATTTATTTTTTTAAAGCCAAGATGTAATCTGGTCTTTGACTACTACCCAGATCTACATTAAAACTCAGCCTCCACTTCTACCCCAGAAAGCCACTATTGCTACAGTGAAACATCTCAAGTGCTGGAACAACAGTCTACTATGTACGTTCAGACCCCATTTCAAAAGACCACCGTTTGTAGTTGAAAGGACAGCATCAAACGTTCCGGTTCCCTGCAGCTGCATTAGATAATTCTTTGTACTGTACGTATCAAAAGAGAACACCTTTTCAGATCTCCTTCAAAGGACCCTCTCCAGAGCAGCCTGCAAAAATCCAAGGGCATCATTTTCTTGCTCTGAGAAACGGAAAGCAGAACTCACCGACAATTTCCTTACTTAAAGGGAAGTGAAAATAAATAGTGTCTAGTAAGTGGAGAAACCTGGACATGAAAACAAGCGTGAACTACAGCAGGGCATCGCTCCCAAGGCAGATAAGGAAAAGGTGCAATTTCAACCTCACTTAAAAATCCTTCACCCTTTTATGCATAAACAAATCAAAAATTTGGTCTTGAGCAGACCTATCACATTTTAACCCCATGAAACACAATTTCCTGAACAAAGTTACCAGTTTTAGACAAATTTTACTGGAAAAAGGCTTTTAAAGTATAAAGGATGCAAACTTGTAGTGATTTACTCTTATCTGGCATCTTTTTGCAGAGTGGAGCACAGGGGCTCCACTGCTTTCCTGGCAGCAATAGCTGGGAGTTCACT